TTTAATATCAATAATCATCATTTTTTCATCATTTTAACTTCACAATTTTTTTTATCATTTTTTTTTTGAAAAATTCAAAAATTTCGTGATCCAGGATTAGCAGCATTCATGGCAAAAAATGATGCTGAAAATGCATACAAGCAGCAAAAAATTTCGGGAGAGCTACCCTTGCAAAATTCCCCTGTTAAGAACTCAGTGAGGTGATAATCCTTTTAGAAGAGAAAATTAACGTTGAGATCGTCTTGCCTTGAGCTGTTGATCCGCTTTTCATGGTGAGTGAAAAAATTGGCGGTGGCATGTAGTTGAGGAACCAGGTAACGGTTGACCCGATTTTCAAAATTTTATTCTTAAAATAATTTTACTAATTTCTTAATTCTTATTTCGAAATTTCCTCTTCGATTATTCTCCTTATTTCAGTAATATACCTTCCTAAGCCAAATTTCAATAAAAATTAGGAAATGGTCTTTAAAAAAGCGCTATAAAATTGTACTAAATCTTAGTTGAGTTTGAGAACTTACTAATTTTTCGAGTTAAAAAAATTTGTTTTTTGTAGTATTTCCCAAAACCACTATTAGCCTAAAATATATTGCGCTTTGCTATGTTTTATTCATCATCAACCGTGACTTACTTGTTTCCCAGAAGTTCAATTTTTACGAAATATGTTAAAATTTTGCTCGTGGGCTTATGCATACAGGTGTTGTGAGTTAAAGATAAGAGGGGAAGGAAGGGGGAGGAGGGTGAGAGGATAAAGGAGGAAAATGAGGATGAACTGAAAATTGGAAGCTAAGACTTTTCGGTCCAGTTCTGCACACACTAAAATGCTCCGATTGCAGCAAGAGGAAGAGAAGCGACGGCAGAGGGACAAGGAGCATGAGAGGAAGAAAAAGGAAGAAGAGAAAGAAAATGGCCAAGAAACAAAGAAACCACAGGAAGAAACAGTGATGAAAGAGCAGGAGAGGAAGAAAAAAGACGAAGAAAGGGGGCAAGAAAGAAAGAAAAAGGAGGAAAAGGAAAGGGAGCAAGAAAGACGGAAAAAAGTTGAAAAAGAACAGGAGCGAAAGAAAAAAATCGAAGAGAAGGAAAAAGAGCAGGAAAGGAAGAAGAAAGTTGAGGGCGGGGAAAAGAAGCAGGAAAAAAAGAAGGAAGCTGAGGAGAAGGAAAAGGAGCAGGAGCGGAAGAAAAAGGTTGATGGTAAGGAAAAAGAGCAAGAGAAAAAGAAAAAAGTGGATGAGAAAGGAAAGGAGCAGGAACGGAAAAGGAAGGAGAAGGAAAAGGAAAAGGAAAGGAAGAAAAAAGAGGAGGAAAAGGAAAAGGAGCAGGAGAGGAAGAAAAAAGAA